AGTCGCCCTAAAGGTACCCGTTTACAAAGTGATAGGGCTTAGGGTTTTTAACTCGGGGCGAGGGGCTGATTTGAAACCCCCTCTGCTGCCAAGCACATGGACGGCTGCTGATTAGAAGAGGGTTGGCAGCAGTGGGCAGATGCCAGGCGGGGAGAGAGATGACGGCCTGTCGCCAGTCTGCCACCCAGCCCCTCGCCCCCCCCCTAGTTGGCCCCCTCCCCTACTAACCCCTCCCCTGTTGTTCAAAAAGAAAAAAAAAGAAAAAAAGAAAAAACAACAACAACATTTCTGTGACAAACCCTAAGGGGGGGAGGGGATGAATTGTAGTAGTGCTTTGTATCAAAATGCAGCAAAATGTGACAATGTTGTTAGACAGATACGCAAAGACATGTAGTGCAACATTTTGTCGTTTCTTTTCTTTTTTTGTTTTTTTTTGTTCGACTGATCTCAAGAGTTTTGAGGAGTGGTTTTGATCACATGAGGCTGACAGTGTGAGTGTGCCGAGCTAACTACGTTGCACAATGAAAGTGATCGCAATACAGTGTTCCTCCTTCCCTCCGCGAACCCACACACAAACGCGCACGTGCTGTACTTTGCACAAGTTTGGCATACTGAACATTCCTGCACCAGCCCACAGAGGATAAAACATTTTGAGCACTTTGGGTGTTTCAAACTTGCAGGAGAATAAATTGTCATGTGGTTAGAGCATAATTCACTGCTCTTCACTCATGCAAAATTGGGACTTTGTCCAACAAAGATGAGAAACAACTGGGATGATCCCAAAGCTACAAGGGGACACACAGGGAAGACGAGAAGTGCTTTTCAAGGCAGACAAACTCAGTGTCCTGTTGTAATAAGTCACAACAAGGTGGAGGCAGTGGTTACTGTGAACAATAGCCAGGCACAAGCTTTAATCATGCTGCTGTATTCCAGACCGTATTGATTTCAGACCAGCTCAATATGACTACATAACTAGTCCATTTCTCTGCTACAGCACTGCACTGTTAGTCATGCATCTACAGCTATGCATAGTGATAGAAAGACACACACATGCATTTACCCATTTACCCCGAGCAACCCCACATTGCTCCCAAATGCACCCACATAGTGATCATAAGAACCTAATACTGTACTGCAAAAAAAAAGTCAAATAAGTCATTTCAATGCAAAAGATCCACAACAGCTTCACTGCAGAGGTTCAAAAGCGTATGGAAAATCAGAAATCAATATTTGTTTAGTCATATGTGTAATAAACAAAGGGCATGACATCAAAGCTATATCAATTCAGTTCAACTCTGGGCAATTTACTCTGCCCAAAAGGGTTAGCACTTAGCAACCATAAAAAAAAAATGAAAAAAAAAGCAACTCTGCCAGTTCCACATCATTCAGTGGTAAATTCTGTTGGGAAAGAATAAATGAGAAATCAATAGCTGTTTCCTTCATTCATGAAGGATGACATTTTTCATGAAACGACTGCATCTGCTGTGGAGTTGTCATCAGTGAGCAGAAGTAGAAAAACCCACTTTTATCTACTGAGAAATCGTGTGTATTTATAATATGACGTCACAGAGTTGAAAAAGTGTCTTCTTTTTTTTTTTAAACAAATATTTAATGTGAATTCATTTGAGGAAATTAACACACAAGCTGGAGCCAAATTAACATTTTCTTTTAATTGTGTGTTAATTCAGGGTGTATTTGTGGTCACAGCCTACAAACTAGAAAAACCAAAAACCAAATCAATTGTTTGTTTGTTTGTTTTGTTTTTTTGTACTTTTCTTAACTCACTAGTCTTTTCATTTCACAAGGTGCGTTTGCTCTCGGACGTTCAAATTCTTTTTGAATAACTCATCATCATTTATTCACACAGGGCTCACTTCTACAACTAAATCATATTAATCTACAGAAGGGTGTATCTATGTCTGACTACATCTTTTTCCCCTTTCTGCCTCACTGTCTGTCTGACCTGATGCTTTTCTGTCTCTCTGCATCTGCCTGCTGTACCGCCTCTGTACTCTCTATACTGTCTTTATCTGTCTGTCTTTCTGCCTGCCTCTCTCTATGTCTGTCAATCTCCTCTCTCCCATCTTCTATATCTCCATCAGGCTGGGACTAAAATATCTTAGGTGCTGCAGCCTTTTTGAAACTGAGACCTGGAATGTACTATTGCAGAGTTCATCACAAACACACACACACACACACACACACACACACACACACACACACACACACACACACACACAAAGTTATACACTTTAACAGGCAGATGGGTGCACTTTCACACTGACAATATGCATATGTGGAGGCAGACATTTACATGCACACACATATACACTCATCATTATATACACTCACACACATACAAGTGAATAAAAAATAAATAAATAAATAAATAAAAAAGAACTCACAGACCATGCACAGTGCAGGTACAGAGGTACAGTACTGATGGTTAGCCCATGCTCTGTGTGTAGAGGAGACAGTGCCCCCTGGTGTGGGCCGAACAGTACTCCCAGTCAGCCATATCTTGACCCAATCTATATTGAGAATACTCATTTACCCTTCTGGGATTGATTAGTCCTGCCTGAAACAGAGAAACCACCCACATCTTACTTAAAAATACAAACCATCCTCTGTAACCAATAGCATCCAGACAGATACAATAACATGGGATACAATAAATGCATCATGTTTCCAAAAACATGTTAAACTTCCTCAGGCCAAAAACAAAGAAGAATTTTATGACTGCAGTAAATATTTAATGATATACGTACCCGTGGACATTTAGAGCTATTTGACACGAATCCTTTATGTGTTTCTGTGATGTGTTTGTATTCACTCTGTACAACAATGGACTTATCTGATATTGGCTACACTGTCCAGTTAAACATCACACAAAGTGTTGAATATGGATCAAGCTTCAGACATTAAATTGCGATTTATTCTTGTATATATACACTGCTGTCAGAAAAAAAAATAAAAAAAAGGACAGCAAGTTAATTTCCTTTAATGTCAATCTCTGCCTGTTTTACTATCATATCATGGTCATGTACTGGTGTGATTGTTTCATGTGCCTACAGACACACAGTCCATGTATTGAAAATATATTAGATGTAACACAGTGTGCAGCAGTGTGTTGTATTTTCAGAGCTTTCAAAGATTTTTAGGTTTATTTAACTTGCTATTTTTGTTTAAATAAAAAACAGTGCATTTCCTGACATGGTGTTTCTGATGATTTCTGTACATAATACATACACTTATATAACATGTTGTGATGAGAATATGTGCAATTGGACGTCATGTGATAGTAACACTGCCATTCCTCCTCTAAATACTAAAAACTCCCCCCATTATTAAGTCACTTCAATATGGAATATTGTGTATTAATTAACAAAACTGATATAAATGATACTCTTTTTGTACATTATAAGGCATGCACGTGTTTGGATGGATATATGTATATATACTGTATATAAATGAGACATTCCTGCTAACAGGCAAGCTGTAATGCACCTTTTCCAATTGTGCTGTTTACAACACTGCCAGACCACACTGCAGTAAAGGAACAAGCACCTGATGGATGAACACATTCATTCGGATGAATACTGATGAGAAAGACTGCGAGGCCACTCTTCCTCACAACGGTTGCCACCTTGACTGCCCGTTCCAAAACCGCTGTCACAGTTTCAGGTTTCCACCATGCTGTGCTGTATCGCTTGTCTCCGACAGAGGTCATGATGTCTGTAATCACAATAATAAAGGACAAGGATGTGGCCTGTTTTTGCATGCAGGCAGGACCAAATGTACGCACACAAAGACACACAACATAGCAGACAGGTGAATGGCGCCCCCCCACCTCACCCCCCAAAATAAGTGCACGAGCAAAACTGTCAAACTCAGCTCATACCAGTGCGCGCGAGCGAGCGCGCGCACACACACACACACACACACACACACACACACACAGACTTCAACAGTGCTGGTGGTTAGCTTGTGGCGTCTGCACAGAGGCGACACTGCCCCCTCATAAAGCGACACTCACCCGCCGCCAACAGCTTTATTATTGCTGATGAATGTAATTGTAATAATAAGGGATGAGCGTGTTTTGAGATTCGCTAAGTGGTGGAAATGAAGGAGCCGGGGACGCCTCCCGCAGGCCAGAGCGCGCACTGCCAGAGGAGCGCGCACACTTATCGGTGCTCGCATACTTCCATGGATGTGTCGGCGTTTTAATAGCCGGACTGACAAAATAACCAGCTGCAAGTGGAGAGCACTGGTCATTTTATACCCCCCCCCTCCTCTTTCTCTCCCCTCCGCTCTTGCACAGTTGTTAAGTGTTAAGTGCAAGTTCTGATCAAATAGGCTAGACGTTTTGTGCCACAATCGACCTGACAATTGAACAGCTCAACAATTCGAATAAATAACCCCACGGCACATAAACAACTGAGCGAGACAGGTGAGGTAATCTCCCATACTTCTTTCTCCCTCCCTGACAGCCAGTGTATGTTCAGTCCTGAAAAGCCATCTTAACAACTACATGTATCCACTTTTTGAGATTTTAACCGTAACTGAAACAATGGAAATGAAAAGAAACTTTTAAAAATGGACTGGAATTTAATTTCTGATACACCTGCGTGGTGAATCCCCCCTGAAACAAATGATAAATAAATCAGACAGCGGCTGTGGACCAGTTCATTTGCAATGGCAACAATTGCATTCAGCTGGAAGATTTATCTGATTTTAATAAACAAAACAAAAAGTTTTTTTTGAATTCCACAATAAACCAAAGGAATCTATAGACCCCACTTTTTGCAGTGTGGAGTCTTGGTTTTGTTCCGAGGCTCCATTTCTATGAGGCAGAAAGGGGGCGGGGATGGGATATTCAGATGAGCCGGAGTGACAGCTCTAGTTTCCCCCAATGCTCTGTGTGTCTGAAACTCCACTGGCTCCTTCCCTGCTAACTCCTCACTTCATAGTGCTGCGTACTAAAAACATCGGACGCTAGGGGATCAAGACGCATGCCACATTGCCTCTATGTGGGCACTTTAACAGATCTTTCGGGGGGTTTTTTTCCCAGTAAGGGGGCTGTGGAGGGAGGACTTTTTATTTTCATTGTCTGATGACTGTTTGCACGGCTGGTTATTGAGTTGATTGTTTATTATTTTGGCTGTTGTTGCCCACCGCCCTGCGCGTTTTTTTTTCCTCCCTTTTTGGAATCGGCGACCTAAAGCCGCGCTCACCAATGTCCTATCCTCAGGGTTACCTCTACCAGCCCCCGGGCTCTCTGGCTCTTTATTCGTGTCCGGCTTACGGGGCCTCGGCTCTGGCTGCCCCGCGGAATGAAGACTTGGCGAGGTCGTCCTCTGGCTCAGCCTTCAGCCCTTACCCTGGATCGGCTGCTTTCTCCGCCTCGGCCGGCGCAGGCTTCTCCAGTCCACTGTCATACTCCACGGATCCAACCACGGGATTCCCATCCTACATGGTAAAAATATATATATATATATATATTTATATTTCACATGTTCCTGTAAGATCCTGTGTAATCGTTTTCCAAAGCAGGCGAATGTGTCGGTGTGATAAAGTCTTTAAATGCGCAAAATGTTTAGCAGCCTTTCACAGCCACAGAGCTCCAGTGAATCGGTTCGGCTTTACAGTGTTTTTGTTATGATTGACTACTCACTAGGTGAAGTGCTTGCGGAACTTTTCTATCGAGTGCCACACATTCATATCCAGTGGCCTACCGGTTGGGTCCTTACTTTAAAATCCTTGACCCCTTTGGCTTAAATGGGATTTTTTTTGAAGCATGAGCTGCAAATTGTAAATGGCTTGACCAGCGCTTAACACTGGCTGCGCAGCTAATTATGTCAAACTGAACACCACCTCAGATTTTTTTTTTTTTTTCTATATTTTGGTTGAAACACTAAAGCAGCGAATGCATGTGTCATAGAACTGACATAACGCAAGCTGTAACTCTTTCTTCTTCTACGGTCATTAAAATCACCAGGGGATGAAGTCGCTGACTTTACTCTGAGCTGAATAAACGGAATTTTAACATGAAAAGCACGAGTCGCATCGCTAATGTCACAGGGCACTTCAAGCGTTTTAAGAAAGGTGCATATCAAGTGATTTGCTAATGGGATTTGTAATGCTGCAAAGAGGAGATATGTTAACACATTGGGGCTGCCACAACAAAACAAAAAAGCACCCGCTGGAAGAAAATGAGGAAGTTAATAGGTGATTACAGAAAATTGAAATTTCCTTTTTATTATCTTAACGGCTGTATTAACGGGAGCTCAGTTATTAGTTAATCCGATAATGATCTTAACCATTAGTTAACCATTAGTTCATGCCATTCTGCGGCCTGCTTTTACGCACCGTGCATTTACCACTCCTGCTCACAATGACACACATTTATTGCAAGCTTTTGGTTTGACGAATGATCCAATTAAAATATATAAGTTTATTTTATTTTCAGGCTTGAACTGAGAGTGGTGGATTTATTTTATTTAGATAGTATTAGAAAACAGAAAGCGAGGATCAAATCTGCCAGTGCATTTACACCACTCTCCAGCTCTTTTCATCCATTCCGACAGGTTTGGAAAACCAACTGACTTCACTGTAGCAGGATGAAACTGATTGTGTTCTCAGGGTAAAAATATTTATAATATTATGTATTGAGTAAGAACACTTTGAAAATGAAACTATACGAAGTCGCTTTGTATATAATTTACTTTTTAAAACAATATGAAGGGAGAATATAATTTTAAAACACAGCACACAGCAGACTTGACTTTTTTTTTTTTTTTTTTTTTCAACTTAATTCAGAGCTCTCCATATGACGCACACACGACGGGCATGGCGGGGGCATTAAGTTACCACCCATACGGGAGTCCTGGGTACCCCTACCAACTCAACGACCCGGCTTACCGCAAAAACGCCACAAGGGACGCCACGGCCACCCTGAAGGCCTGGCTGCAGGAGCACAGGAAGAACCCGTACCCGACGAAAGGGGAAAAGATCATGCTGGCTATTATCACCAAGATGACCCTGACGCAGGTCTCTACGTGGTTCGCCAACGCCAGGAGGAGGCTCAAGAAGGAGAACAAGATGACCTGGGCGCCCAGGAATAAGAGCGAGGACGAGGACGAGGAGGACGGGGACGGAGAGAGGAAAGAGGTGGAGCGCTCTGAGAAGACCCTGGATAACAGCGAGGCTTCAGCGGAGGATGAAGGTGGGGTATAATCTGACGACCGAGCCAATGATCCATTTAACAATTCAGGGTAGGATGGGGGGTAAAAAGGGAGGGGAGGGGTGGATGCCCCTTTTATTTACTGCTCAAGCTATTTAGTTCAATAATTTCCTAGTGAAATATATCAAAGAAATGAAATGATAAAATAATTCATTCTAATACAAATAATCTGGCTTCGTGTATTGTTTTAGTAAACACTGATTGATATATATTTTCTTTTAATGAAAACGAGGTTCTGTGACCCAACACTATAAAACTACTAAATGACCTGCTGAGATGAACATTTCATTTTCTTTAACATGATTAATGGCAGGTCACTGGCAAAGTAGACACACAGCACAGCAGTCAGACTGTGAATGTTATTCTTTTCATGTCTGTTTTTGAATAACTATGTAAAAAAGAAGATCATCATTGTTGTTATTAAAATGAAAAAAAGGCTTCTAATCGTAGCCATTTAAACTGATATAAATAATGAATGTCTGACATTCAAACCTGACTGGTGGTAAACAGTAGAGATTAGTCTGAATACACATGGACATGAAATTTTACTTTGACGACAAGATAAGTTTTCAGATTCTTTATATATTTATGTTAAAATTTTCAACTCATCTGTTTGCTTTTATTTTACAATATTATTATATTTACATATGACATATGTGTTTACTTTTTACTGTTCGATCGTCTTTCTTTTGTCCTTGTTTTCCTTCCTACATATCATTGGATCCTTAAGTTTTTCTGTAACTATTTATTTCTAATTAATTCGTTAATTAATTAATTAATTAATTAATTTATCTTTTCTCTCCTCCTGTCTTAGGTATCAGCCTCCACGTCGACACTCTGACGGACCACTCCTGCTCCGCAGAGTCTGACGGGGAGAAGGTCTGCTGTCGTGTGGGCGAGCTGGGCTCCGACCGAGCCGGCGACAAATGCGACGAGGACGGCGACGACGACGACCAGAACCACGACCCGCGGGTTCAGCTCTCGCCCAAACCCGTCACATCGTCGCCTCTAACGGGAGTAGAAGCGCCAGTCCTCAGTCATCACCAACAACAACAACAACAACAACAACAACAACAACAGCAGCAGCAACAACAACACCAACACCTGAAATCACACCACCACCACCACCTCCATCATCTCCACCATCTCCACAGCCAACGCGAGGATTTGGCCCGGAGCCTCGTCAATAGCAACAATATTAACACCAATAAGTCGTCTTCATGCCTAGATAGCAGGCCCTCGTCGGGGGCGCCTCAGACCCCGACAGCTAAGCCCAAATTGTGGTCGCTGGCGGAGATTGCTACCTCGGACCAAAAGCAGCAACATCAGCAACAGCAACTGGGGCAGCCCGGGCAACCAAATTGCCCCTCCTCCAGCGGTGGCCTCCTCACTCCCCCCACCACCTCCCCGGCTGCCAGTTCCCCCTCCCTCTACCCGGCCCCCTCCATCCTTGGAAGACCTATTTATTACACTTCTCCCTTTTATAGCAATTACACAAACTATGGCAACTTCAGCCCCCTGCAGGGCCAAGGGATCCTGCGCTATACTAATTCATCCGGAGTGAGTCTGGCTGCTGCCGCCGCCGCCGCCGCCGCCGCTGCTGCAGCAAGCGAGGGTCTGAGCTCCTCTCACCAGGCTCTGGAGGCGAGCACAAACCCCAAACACAGGCCAGACTCTCCCCTCGTTAAAAATAACCCAAACCAGATTGTTGTTGTCGAGCAGCAGCAGCAACAACAGCATTTCAGACCCGCAAATTTAGAAGCAAAGAAAGGTACGTAATAACATGACGCGGTACATTGTTACAAAAAACAAAAAACAAAAAAACAAAAACGATCACCATGTTGAAAACTTATTTAATCTAGTGTTGAATCTTGGGATTGTATTTTTCTTAAACAGGGGAAATCTCACCGCGGTGGAGGTGAAATGAATGAGTTCACTTATTTCCAATGCAAATCAACTGGTTTTTCTTTGTGTCACTTCCATATGTCATTGCAGTGACACCATGGGGATGACTGGCCTGTTTCTGCTTTGCCCCAAAGAAAATTAAACCAGTCTTGTATGAGAAACACGTGGCCTCTTCTGACACCACTGGCAGATTTTCACTTGTTTTAAGATAAATATGATTTTAGGACTGAATATAAGAGTAAATGACTTATTAAGATGGACATTTCTGCAGCGCCGTTTAAGCGAATGAACGTGTACTGTGGCCTATAATTCGCTTTCATTGCAGTTAATTTTCTGGAAAAAATCTATTTATAATTGTCCTCCATTTTTTTTTTTGAAATCATATGCATTTTTTGGTCTTTCTGAATCCCATAGAATCATTAACAAGGAGGCCACGAGCTTTGCAACAAGCTCGCATTAGAAACTAGTGGGGATATAATAAGAAAAGTCCCATTGCAAACAAATGTGCAAGAGGACACCTACAGATATAGACATTAAAATAAGCCCATGAAGGACAGGGCCTCAAATCGGCCACGTGCACAGGCATGCGCGTGCACTCACACTATAGAGGCAGCCTGTGAATCCACTGAGCAGAGAAATGTTGCCATAGCTTTGAGCAGGAATCCTATTTTTAATGTTTCCTCTGATGTGTGTGTGTATGTGTGTGCGTGTGTGTGTGTGTGTCTGTGTGTGCACAGTCTAACCCCAAACCTTATCTTTCAGCTTAGGATAATTATAATTACACTGGGTCAGCCAAAAGCAAACAAATCAGTTAGCCTGCTCTGCGCATTCATGGTGCAACTTTACATCTTCAAATGTCACTTATGGGTGATGGTGGTGGTGGTTACTCTGCTTGCACACATTCAAAGCTTTGCCTGCACGCCGCTGGATCAGACGTGTTACTGGCAATTAGGTAGTGGGGATTTTTTTTTTTTAATAAGCACTTGTAGTAATCGAGTTGTTTTTTTGTTTTTTTTGGTTCAAACTAAGTGTTTTCAGCAGAGTTGGGATTTTGTTTTTATTTCCATGGTCTGCAGGTAGGTGTCACAATTGCTTTGACTATAAAGCCAGAAATGACACCACCTTTTAGCCTCATGTTTTAACCCCCATAACCTTTAACTCCAAAACCGGATCTAGTGCCACCATATAGTCGGAGTGATCGCTGCTATACCGCCTCCTCAGGCTCCACACAGGCTGAGCCACTCTATAGCACACACACACACGCACACGCACACACACACACACGCACACATACACACACACACGTTTGTCACATTGTTATTGTATTATTTCAGCTGTTTTGTTTTCATGCAATAATTTCATATGCTGGTTTGAAAAAAAAAAAGATCTCCCATTATATGTGATTTACATGTTATTTCTCAGGTTCCTATAGTTTGCTTATTTGCCACGGTATATTATTTGAGACTATATTTAACGTGTGGAAAACATAATTTGGCCTTTCTGTGAAACCATGCTTGTATAAGAGGAGGTGTCTTGGGACGCAAGGCGGACGGAACTGAAGTGAACTTGAGGACTTCAAAGTGGAATAGCCTACATTTGATATTTATTTTTTTAAATGATGGCGAAATGATGCCTATAATTTATGCAAGTTGTATTGCAAAAATGGGAAACTGACATCGTCTGTTTGTTTTGTAAATATATATATATATACATATATATATATAAATATATATTATGGACGGTTTTTATTTGAGACGCATTTGGGAAAAAGCTACACAATCTTGTTATCAGGAGTACTTTTACTAATTTATATCTTTGAATGTAAATAAAATAAAACGCGCTGGTATAGCTGTACTGGCGGGGTATGATATCCATTATTCAAAGGAGAAAATATTAAACTGTTTTCCCAACTATTACATAAATCTTGGGGCGTCATTCTTTTATTCATAACAGACCTGTGTTTAATACTGAGGCATTTTTTATCCACTCTGCTCATTGTTCTTTCATTTTGTCAGTCAAACCCAGATGGGAAATGCTTGATGAATCTCGCTTTTCATAAACATTACGAGTTTTCACAGATTGCACAATCCATTCTTTCTAAATGGACCATCATTTTCTTTTAGGGCCTCATTCTGGTCAGGGAATCTCCCTCGGCCACATATTCACGACCTTGATTGGGATAAACGACATACTTATTTCATTTTTCTCCCCTTTTTCCTCCCCCCTCCTCTCCCTTCGCGCTGCCACACATTTATTTTTCAGTGTGATTAATACAGCCGTGGGACGCATCGGGCATTATGGGCTCCCAGCGGGGCCCGTCCCTGGAGCTTTTTAGCCTGGTTCAGGATGGGTCAGCCCTGCCTGCTTCATTACGGCACGGCATTGAGCAATCCATAAAAGTCTATCTAAGCATCTGCCAGCTCCAATGGGCTGTGTGATGGGCCCTAATCGGACAGGCTTTCCTCTGCTTTTCATCATGGCTTGGTTATTATAGCATCTTTAGGACACAGCTAATTAAACTATTTAGGGAAATAAAAAGCTTAGGTCTAAGGAAAGGGATATATTATTAATATTATTATTATTATTGTACAATTGTTAGACGTCCTACAATTTTATTTATTTATTTGTTTATTCATTCATGTATCTATTTATTTATTTGGTCAAATTAATTCCAATATTTTTTTTTTCACTCACAGCTGTGGCTTTGCAGAGTGTGAAATACTCAAAGATCAAATATATAATATTCCCATCCTCCGAGAAGAGGCCTCCATCATCGCTCCCAGCCACACTGAAAGCTAATCCTTCATTTTCCAGTTGAATTTGAGCTTGAGTGTTGTCCAAATCTCACGGGACTCCCTTTCACCTTGGTTTTCCTCTTCCTCCCTCAACCAACCCCCCACCCCTTGCTTCCATCCAAGAAGTCAATAATTGACTGCCACCAGGGATGCAGTGAAGGGTAAACCCACCTAAACTCAGTTAACCCACCTTTAAGGCTGACAGAAGTCTTTGTGACATAGATTCATGGTATACTTTGCAGTGAATAGTGTCACACCGTCAGAAATGTTATAAAAGAGTCTTTTAAGATTAAAAAAAGGAAGCATTGGAGGATGGCTTTTTGAAACTGTTATTGATTTTTTGTTTAAATTCAATGTTCTCCTTTTGATCTTCACTGTCTGAAAATGATCTATTTCACCTACCTTTTTATTTACCCCTACCCTCACTGGCAGCCACCTATATTATGGACGCTATAGCCCCTGGTCAGCTTCTTCTTCCCCATCCAAAACGCTTTCATTAGGTTTTGATTTATTGAAATGCATGCTTTATTCTCAGGTGGGCTCCCCTGGGGACTCAGCACTGTTGTCAAATAGCACCAGAGGCACTCTCCAAAACACACAGGGGCCCCGCCTCTCTCTCTCTCTCTCTCTCTCTCTTTCTCTCTCTCTTTCTCTCACCCGCTGCTGCTCCCTCCAAATGTCAACATTTGTTCTCAATAAAAAGAGTTATTGTTTCTGTTAAAAAAAAAAAAAAAAAATGCTCCGCAACCGGTCGCCTTTGAACACATGAAAAGAAACTTCCACCCCACCTCTTTGTTTGATTGGGAGCAACGGCAGGTGAAAATGGGAGCAAGGCGTCCATTGCACATGACAAACCTCAAGCTGTGAAGCCTGTTATGAAACGATTGTAAATTTATGCCACAATTAGTCTCAATTGTACAGAGGCATTTCTATCCTTTTTGAACAATTCGCTCTTTGCCACACATTCGTTAAACTATTTGCAGAAGGAACCAGGGTGCCCTTTACACAACCTCGATATTGATCCTCAAGGGCAAAACAGACAATTTGCTGCATTACCAAGACTGCTGTGGAGTATCAGACCTAGCTAAGCCCATGCTTTAGACTGAGGGAACAATTTTAACTTATCTAGATATTCTTTAATTCCATGCATTGCATATCAAATACAGTCATAATCCTATCATATAGCTTACCAATGAGGGTGTGTTCATCCATGCTAAGGACTAGTTGTCATTGAAAGCTAAACTGATGGTATCGCAAGGCTCAGAGGCTTCATGTGAGTGTAGACTGGAGAGCAATGGACTCATTCCCCTTATCTTCGATCAAATAAGCAGCTCGCATATGCAGATAATTCATGAGCTCTTTGTATCCTTTATCCTCCCATCAACCCTTTTCTCCTCCAAAATGCTTCAGACATTAATCTCTGGCGCACACCTGTGTGCCTCTCCAACAGGAAGTTAATGCAGCTAAAGTTTTATTAGAGCAGTGGAGGGTTTATTATGTTTCACAAACAGCAACTGTAGCAGTTAATGGGGCGGGATGATAAGTAAGACCAGTAGGAATTGATGAATTAGCTACAGATGCTGAGGCTTTACTGGAAAAATGATACTGGAATTCAACTTCCAAGTCATTTGTCAATCTGTATGAACAGACTTCCACTTGTGTCTCTTGTGGGCAGACACAAGCTTGAATAATTAGCCCTTTCTTTAAGCTAGCACGCAATACAGGTATTATGCATGGACAATCCATTGAGCGAAAATTGTCCAAGAAAACTGAACATTTTTCAAATAATAAGAAACACCTGAATTTTATATTATCCAGTTGGTATTCAAAAGTGTAAATGTAACTTTAATAGGAAATTTATAAACCAGTGATATCAGCAATAATTCCAATTATTTTCCATAACATGTTTGCAGTCCTTTATTTGAATACAGAGGGAATAAATGTGAGCAAACCCAAAGGATTTCCACCCTTTGATTGAACCTTATATCTTTCATGGTAAATCCGCCCATTAAGACCAGACCATAAATACTGCTGATGTTCAGACTTAACCGTAAGCAGCACTAATATTCAGGGGAGAGT